GCCCGCGGGGAGGGCGGGCAGAGGGCTCACGGCTGGGTTCGCTCGGAAACGAAACGCATGCCGCTGGCGCAGCTTTGTCCCGCGCGGTGTGTCCTGTAGATTTAAGCTTTTTATCTTTGACCAGCCGGGTTAGCTCAGTTGGTTAGAGCATGGTGCTAATAACACCAAGTTCACAGGTTCAATCCCTGCTTACTGCAGGGGGGTTGGGCTCGATGATCTCTCAAGGTCCCTTCCAACCCAAAGCATTCTATGATTCTATGATCTTTCAAGAGCTGTGTGCATAATAAATCGTTATTGTTTGCCCGGGCGAAATTCACAGTAACGGTTAACCAAGTCTTGCAAACTTTTGTAGTTCAGCGTGTGGTGTTTTAATGAGGGCTTAATATGTTTTGAGTGAAAGGCTCAGACCTTTATTTGCTAGAGCTAGGTTTATTCTCGAACTTTGAAAGCAAAGGGTGGGCATGTGTTAAGGTTTAGGTATTCTTGATTCATAGCCACAACAACTGATATTGCCCCCTTTTTTCCTCAGTAGACTGCATTACTTGGATTTTTTTTTTGTTTTAATCAAATGTCTTCGGAATGCTCTGTTTCTCTCTTAATATTCTGCTGGTGTTCAGATAAGACTGTTCACCAGGAAGCTCATGATACAGGACTGGGAATAAGGGAGGGATAAAAAGGGTGAGGGAAAAGCACAGTTTGGTTGATAAAGCACAAAGAATTATAATTTCAGTGTTGAAATGCTTTTAATTTTTAAACAGGAAAATATAGTTGCTCTAGGTGAAACTTGAAGTGCGTGCTGACCTGTCACATTCAACCTTGCTATTCTTCGGTGTAGGTCCTAGTGATGCATCTCCAGATGAAGGAGTAGTAGAAGATCTGCCTTTAATAGATGAGAAGGCTGTGGAGCAGCTAACTGAAGGATTGATTTCTCATTATCTACCTGATCTTCAGCGATCAAAATCAGCACTACAGGAACTTACGTAAGCAAATTTTGAAAACCAACTTCTTATACGTGCATACTCTGTGACTTTTTTCAATATGATGCTCTAGCTACCCTTCACTGGAGTATAGTTTATTGTAGCATTTCTGTGTTCTGACTGTAGCATCCTGAATACTTAAGTGATTTGCAGGAGTACAGGGGGTGTATAAGCTGCAGCACAGCCTGTCAAAACTTTGAAGAATGTATGATGCTACAGCACTAAAATACCCTAAGCCAGGTATAACAGAAGACATGCAGATTTCTTAAATACTTGTTCGCTTTTGTAGTGGGAAGTCTGCTGAAAGCTAGGTTTATTTTGTTTGCAGAGATGCGATTCATACTCAGGGCAGCTTGTAGTGTGGTATATTGTTTGTTGTCCAGTTTCTAAACTGTGTTGCAAAAGATACACTTGGAAAATATAATTAAGGAGCTGAACATATAAGAATTCTTTGTACATTGGCATCTCGGTGATAACTGAGAACAGCTTATATTCAAGGGCAGACTGGATCTGCCGTGGATGCAAAGATACTGGAAAGGGCTTTACATAGACCTGTCTTGGGTTTTGCAGGGTACATTGGTTTGGGTTTCACAATGCGTGATGTGGTTATGCTGCTGCCAAGGACAGCCTGTGTCTGGAAAGACTTTAGCTGATTTGTGTGGGATGGAAGATCCTTAATAAGCACTGAGGATCCACGCGAGTTCTATGCAGAAATAACTTAGTCCTGCAGCATGATGCAGAGGCAACTGAGTGGAAAATCAAGAGCTAATTGTTTTTCCCTTCATTCAACCTGGGATGTTTACTGACTGCAACCTGCAGAGTGCCTGTTCAGGATTTTCGTATATTCATCCTGGATATCTTATCATGCTGTATGATGCCAGTTGAATTTGTGTGTACTCAGCTCGATTTTTCTAAAACCATGTACTCATGTCTTTATTGAAATTACCTAGCAATGCATTAAGAGGAATCTGATACTGGGAAGCATGTATTTATGTTGTTATGATCAAAAGTAGTAGTTATTTAAAGGGCTGGTTGAAAAGCCTATGTTCTGCTTTACTTTGGTTTTATGCATCTTTTTTTGTTTCAGACAGAACCAAGTGGTATTACTAGAAACATTAGAACAAGAAATCTCAAAATTCAGAGAGTGTAACTCTATTCTTGATATCAATGCTTTGGTAAGTACTGTTAATGCTTTCTTAAATCTCTACTAGTGTAGATTTTCTGGCTGAAGCATTAGTAGCAACCTGCATATTTTCCTTGTTCTTACTGACCTACAGGAAGAGAACCAACCAGTTCAGATACTCGGGACAAATTGTTGCTGGAGAGGGTACGGAACCATCTCCCTTAAATAGGAAGGGCACTGGGAAGAAAGAGCAGGCTCAGTCAGCCAGTGGTAGTAAGTCTAGTTGTTCAACACTAGCAGCCAAAGCAACTGTGTGCCATTTTTCGGTAGGACTGAGGCTCCAACATGAGCTCTGTGCACCTCCCCAGACTAGCAGGAAGGGTGCATGAAACAGTGATATATGGTGCATAAAATGGTAATATTTTTCTTCTGTTTAATGAATCTTAATTCAGTAGATTATTTGGTGTACCTGTTGAGATATGGTAGTTTTCTATATTAATACATGTAATATGTAAAATTTATATATAAACTTGTTTAATCCATTATCAAACTGTTCTGGTAACCATTATGCTTTTGATTGCTGTTTTGCTGCATAGCTTTATAAAACAACTAGTCCGACTTGATAGTTGCTGCTTTAACTGTTACGGTTTTTTAAGTTTTCAGAAGCTAAACACTATCACAACAAGTTAGTGAATATTAGAAATGAAATGATGATGCTGCATGAGAAGACGTCAAAGTTAAAAGTGAGTGGGATAAATATTTTTCCTTTCCAACATAGAAGTCAATAATACATAATTAAATATCTAACTTTTATTTTGGATGCATGGTGGAAGTTCTGATTAAAATAGAATCTTCAGTCCTTTTCTTAAATGGATGTTTTCAGTAGCGCCAAACCATGTATCTGAACGACTAGAAAATCTCAGTGTCGTCGCCATGTTTAGGTGGTGTAAGAGTCGTACTTTGTTCTGTCGCTTAATCTAGTCCATTCCAACTAGTTCTCCTTGTTCTTTCAGTTTCTGTGCCTTTTTAATGAAAGCTAGATTATCATAAATGTAAGAATTTCTCCTTCTAGTTATTGTAATATTCACAGTGGCAGAAGTTCACTGACTCCATGCTATGTAGGCAGTCTCTGGTTATGTTCTGGCGAGATTAGTCTTTCAGTATGTTCAACAAAAAGATTTTGTCTTGGAGATGACAAATTGCACAATACACACTTTGTCTGGTATAGACGAAGGATGACTTTTAGTGAGATTGAAGGCAATCCAGTTTGTATTTTCCCTGTGTAGATCACAGACTTACCGTTTCTGAACGGTGAGAGGGAAGTGGGAGGGAGGAAGAAAAACTGAACAGTTTATGCAACACTCGATCATAAGCAGCATGGATTGGTGAAAATAACGTTAAGAGAGTGGGAGGGATCTTGTTTGTAGCTTGAACTTAAATACATCTATAAAACTTACAATTATTTTCTTGTCTTTTTTGTTTAGAAAAGAGCACTTAAGCTGCAACAAAAGAGGCAGAAGGAAGAACTGGAACGAGAACAGCAACGTGAGAAGGAACTTGAAAGAGAGAAGCAGTTAACAGCAAAACCTGCTAGGAGGACATGAAAGCAGAGCGTGCAACTACTTGTCCAAATTAATCATTTCTGCATTCTCTAGAACTGAGGCAGACTTTGCTTAAACTGCGCTATAGTTGTTACTAGCAACAGTCTACTCTATGATGTTGTAAATTCCAGAATGGTAATAATAGGGTTGGTAACATGCAATTTTTCTCATTTCAGCCATTCAAGTTGCTCTCTTTTGTAATGCTATGCAGTTTGATATTATGATGATGTAAGTTAATTTTATA